TGATTATTTTGCGTATTTGATGGTGCTACATAGCCTTCCCGGTTTGGTGCCTTCTTTTGATAATTACTTACTAAGTCACTGCACATTCTCTCATGTGCATTATACATATATAAAACTCTGAACTGTAATGCCAATCCTGACCTCAAAAGCTTCATTGAAGGTTGTAACAGAACCCATGAGCACCACACCAGAAATAAATACAGTTTTGATATTCCAAGAGTACGACTTAATCAAACTAGAAATGCTCTACAAATCAAGGGACCCAGAATGTGGAATGACCTTCCCAACCATGTTAAAGACTGTAGCTCTCTCAACCAGTTTAAGATAAAAACGAAGCTATACCTAATAAATTCCCTGTAACCTACCTTACCCCTCTATTGTCAACCAATGTCTGTTTTTTTTTTTTTTAAATGACGCTATTTGTCGACCGTATTGTATTTGTGCTGCTTTTTCAGCCATGTTCCCCCCTTCTTATCTCTCTTTTTTATTTGTTCTCAACTCATTTTATTCTTTATGCTCAGTTAGTATTAAGCTTTAGTCATTTAAGTTTTTCATGCCCGAAACGCTTTGCGTAATAGTGGCTTTAGGCATTGTATGTACTAGCCCTATCTATAAATCCATCACACTTTGTAAAATCTCTTGTATGTATGTACCTTACCTAAATAAACATTTGATTTGATTTGATTTCATTTCATTTGATTTGAAGTCTCTTAGCCGTACTGGATGCATTTCAAAATTTAGTGTTGCTTGTGCACAAATGCCCAAGATCCTAGTATTCTGCCTCCTCTCATGGGTAAGCTCCGACCTCATTTTTTGTTAACTGATTTTTAAGAAATGCTGGCGTCCTCTGCTGAGGCGCCATTATGTATGCACCTCACGAAACAACTGAGGGAGCTTTTCAAGAAATAAAGCACAATGTAATGAAATGCATTTTTTCTAGTTGGTCATTAATGGCTCCCCATCTCATACCTGTTTCCTTCTTTGGTAAGAAGTGGTGTGTGGGTACCGACCTGTGAGTTTTATATTTATTTAATTTATATGAATTTATATTTACGTTAATTTATATACTTCGATAGCAATTTGTATAATGATAAGTGGACTGTATTTCTGCAATAATCTCTTAATCTCACAAATCGATCCTCTACACATTAAGGGGGTTTATTAAATTAATATATATGCAGCCAATCAAACTGCAGAATTAACTACATACATTGAAAAGGTTCCTTATCTTATTTGTACAGCAGGTATAACCAGGATGTAGACCACATTTTCCCTCTTTGAGGTAGCTTCCACGTGCTGGTAACTGAAGCACAAACATGCTTCCTCGTCTTGACCTGTTAAAAGGGCGCTAGCTGTGAAGCCAGAAACCTAGTATATGACAGGTATTTCAGAGAAACATTGTACATGGAACAATAAAGACCTGGCTTAATTACCTTTAGTATGAGGCGATTTCGCGTTCTAACCGGCTAACCCTACCCAATGACATTAATGGCCACTAATGATAGATAATGGGTTTCGGAAAGAACACTTAACTTGAATTTGTAGACAGCGTGTTGATAATGGTACACTTTTAGTTTCCATAACACTACGTCCAAGTAAATTTAACAGGAGCCGAATTTGCTCCCGTGTGAGCCTCTGGTCTAGTCTCAACAATGGCTGCATCTAACACTCCATACTATTGACGCCTGGCCGACATTGTCCAGATATGATAGGAGCCAAATTTGCTCCACACGTCTCGGAGGTGACACAACAATGGCTGCCCTCCTTCCTCCCTCTCTGACGTCTGGCCTACTTGTCCAGATGTCAGAAAGTGATAGAAGGGTCACATTTACTCTACTTTAATATTGATAATTAAGTTAATTTATATAAGATGTTTTTATGATGGTAAAGTCCAAAGACTAATGTATTTAAGAACAATTCCCAGCAGAATAGCTGGTGAATTATAATAGTATGTGGTGATGATATCCCGTTTTCTTTAGACGGTAATTCCACTACAAGTTACGTTTTCTATGGGTAACTTGTTTATACAACACAGCTATTATCTGTATGATTATTAAATGGTGTCGGATTTTCCGACATGGTGGGCTTTCGCTCATGCATTCCCTGTAGTGTAGTAGGAAAACACTCGCCCGGCACTTCGCGAGCTCTTTGGCCTGGGTTCGTATCCTGGCCGGAGAGGTTTGACAGAGTGCCATTCTTTAACTGTAGCCTCTGTTCACCCAGCAGTGAATGGGTGCCTGGTAGTTAAATGGTTTGAACAAACATAGGAATGTGCCTCAATGCGAGCAGTGACTGCCCAGACAGGTACAAGAGGAGTGTTGTCAACGCTTACGTCGACCGTGCTCTCAGCCACAGCTCAGGATGGAAGGAAGTCGATGAAGAACTATGTAGGGTAAGGCAGGTCCTAGTCAACAACGGCTTCTCCAGTGGTTTCAAACAAAATTAAAAAAAAAAGTTTCGTTGAAGACAGCACAAAAAGGAAGGTGAAACGCCATGCAAGCTCTGAAGAGTCAACTAACACAACACCTGTACCCCCTATTAGACTATTTTACAGGAACTTCTTTTCCACAGCTCATAAAACGGAGGAAAGGGTCCTGAAAGATATTGTTAATAGGAACGTTATCCCTACAGACAAAAATCAGAAGATACAATTGACTACTATAAAACCAAAAAAAACGGCTAACCTACTCATAAAAAACTCTCCAGACACAAAGCAGAACGCCTTAAAGGAGACTAACGTCGTCTATGCCTTCAAATGCCCACTTGGGGACTGTAAGCCCCAAAGAATTCAGTATATAGGCAAGCCAACAACATCTATTTCCAGGCGATTAACAATGCATTAGCAACAGGGCTCCATCAAGGAACATATAATCTCTTCCCACAACCAAACCATCACCAGCGAAGTCTTAACAAACACAGAAATCATCGATAGACACAGCGATAACAGGCGGCTTGACATCTGCGAGGCACTACACATCAAAAAGTCAACACCAGCAATCAACAGCCAATTAATGCACAACTATATTCTACCCACTTCAAGACCCCGAACCAATATAGAAGCATCAAAAGAAGGTATGGGCCAATAGGCCCTTTGCAGTTACTTCCATTCTTCCCTCTCATTTATCCAATTAATACCCAATGTTCCGTGTTCTGTCTTCTGTTGGTCAAAAGTTTGTTCACCTCATCCAAAACTGTTGCAACATATCACCTCACCCAAATGCAAGTATATAAGACAAGCTGTTTAAGTGTTTAGCATAAGTAAAACTCTGTTTAGTGTTTTCAGGTTACAGTTGTGTGTGTGTAAACTAAAGTCTTTGAAAATGTAATAAGTTAATATGAAACGCGTTCAAGTGTCGCGTCAGACTAGAAATAAAATTGAATTTTGGAGAATTGATTTTTCAATTGACATCGACAGTAAAAATAAACATAAGAAATATTGAGAAAATTCGTGTTAGAATTATTAATCTTTCTTTTTCGGTAATATTTAACAACATACGTTTACAAGAAAGAATGCTACCAAAATATGCACATATATATTTATATTTTATATATAAAATAAATAAGTAAAATAAAATGTTTATTTAGGTAAGGTACATACATACAATAAATTTTTACAAAGATTGGTTGACTTATAGGTAGAGCTAGTACATACAATGCCTAAAGCCACTATTACGCAAAGCGTTTCGGGCATGAAATAAATATATATATATATATATATATATATATATATATATATATATATATATATATATATATATATATATATATATATATATATAATATAATCTCAGGTAGTTCATGATTGAGGGGGGACGGAGATTCTTGAGATCTGGGCTGACATCTGATGGCAGTCATGCACATCAGTGTTTACTCTGTACTCACCTAGTTGTGTTTGCGGGGGTTGAGCTCTGGCTCTTTGGTCCGCCTCTCAACTGGTGTACAGGTTCCTGAGCCTATTGGGCTCTATCATATCTACATTTGAAACTGTGCTTGGAGTCTGCCTCCACCACAACACTAATTAATGCATTCCATTTGTTAACTACCTTGACACTGAAAAAAATCTTTGTCTGTGGCTCATCTGGGTACTAAGTTTCCACCTGTGTCCCCGTGTTCGTGTTCCACCCGTGCTAAAGAGTTTGTCTATGTCCACCCTGACAATTCCCCTGAGAATTTGGTAGGTGGTTATCATGTCACCCCTTACTTTTCTGTTTTCCAGGGATGTGAGGTTCAGCTCCCTTAGCCTTTCCTCGTAGCTCATACCTCAGTTCCGGGACCAGTCTAGTGGCATACCTCTGATTCTTCTCTACCTTCGTCTTGTGTTTAACTAGGTATGGACTCCAGGCTGGAGCTGCATACTCCAGGATTGGTCTTACATAAGTGGTATACAGGGGGTCCTGAACGATTCCTTACACAAGTTTCTAAAGGCAGTTCTTATATTGGCTGTGACAACAACTGTTTGCATAGTTACTTCTGGGTACCTAATTTTCTCAAGAGTTGCTTTTTATATGATTAATTTTCTCAGTTTTGGGTTGATCTCTAATTCCAAGCATCCTTCGCTTCATAGAGCCAGATTCAGGTCCTAGCTGCAGGTAGGCACGAGTGGGTCTCCAGAGGCCTGATACATCCTAATGATAAGCTTTACCGGGGCTTATCTCAGGGAGCTTCTAAAGGCTTACAAGATGAGGGCATTTCATTACATTTTTTATTTTTCTATATTCTTAAGTTTTAATTAAATTAGATATTGAAGAATTGTGGATACAGTAGTGTATTGTTTCCTTGCACTGAAATGGGTAGCCTAGTCTCATAACTTAACAAAATATCTCCATCATGCAGTAAGACTATGTTATGAAGACATTATTACCTACACGCTATAAACATTTGAAGTGTAAAAAAGTTTTTACATTATTAAACCTAAGACTAATTTGGAGCATTTGGAGCCAAAATAAATTTGATGCAATTATTATACTTATAAAACATAATTAAAATTTTTATATGGGCAGTGTAGAGCACCAGGAGTCGGACAGTGGTCTTCACAGTATACCTTTAAAGTTCAACTATAGTGTGCGACATCAGATCATGAAGGGCACAAGTGGAGCCTTCAACACCTTCAAAGCAAATGTCAAGGTAAACATATTTATATATTTATATTATTATAAAATCATTTTGGTATCATGACAAACTCCAGTATATGATGAGCAAAAATTTTAAAATATCTGAAAAATTTCAGTAAAGAATATAAAGTACAGTACATACAAAAATATATATATATTGTACAGTAAATCAGAAATTGACTATACTAATATTATATATCCGTAAGAGATATTTGCTGCATATTAGTATGAGACTTATTATAAAGAGTATTAACAAATTATTCACCCCATTATGTCTTAATTATTACAGTACCTATCTTAATTTGGTTTGCGTAATTGTAACACAATTAAAGACATTTCTGTTTTAATTAAGTCGACAACCACAGTTCAAGCATTACATTGGTAAACCAGAATAATGAAATTATTAAGACTTGTAATGGGTGGATACTGCTAGATACTCTGTATACCAGTAAGAAATGTACAGCATGCAAGCACAGGTTTAAATATATTTTACTGTAGTAGTAAGAGTTTTAATGTAATACATAAAAAATTAAATAAATGTTTATTTTTAGGTAAGGTACATACATACAAGAGATTTTACAAAGATTGATGGATTTATAGATAGAGCTAGTACATACAATGCCTAAAGCCACTATTACGCAAAGCGTTCTGGACATGAAAAACTTAAATGACTAAAGCTTAATACTAATTGAGTATAAAGAATAAAATGTGTTGAGAATTAAGAAATAAACAAATAAAACAGAGCACAAATAAAAATAGAGATAAAAAGGGGGGAACATGGCTGAAAAAGCAGCACAAATACAATTAGGTCGACAAACAGCGTTGTTAAAAAAAAAAAAATTATTTAATGGGACCCAGTCTATGGAACTCACTCACTATTGAATTGAAAAGCTGTCCAACTCTTGCGTCATTCAAAAACAAAACTAAAAAGTACCTAATTTCATCTTCATAGTTTTTTACCTTTTGCTTTAAAATGCAGTATATGATGTATATGAGTATATGATTACTGTATCAACAAAAGATTTATTGTATACCAGTATCGGAATAACTAATGAAAATAAAATATTGATATACCGAGTGTTAAACGGCATTAAAGTAAAGTAAACTTTTATTTTCTACTTTTCTGCATTCTGCTACACATTAAGGTATAATTTATTGTGCGATATGGAAGGGATCATGCATTGTGAGGCAAGATAACATACAGCACTGATGCCACTGTTGTGTTTTCTAGCCATCCATGCAGGATGGAGCCAATAATATTGCTAGCCTGTGATGAAGAATGATACAATGATTCTGTACCACTGACAGCAATCCACTTAGTATGTGTCCAATCATTCTCATATTAAGTGTTCAATTAGTATTGGGGGGCTTCGAATCACCACAGATGAAATCTTGCAGATCTTCAAAAAATCATTAAATGTCCGCCTTAACTAACAAAAACTTCCTCGTCGATCATGAATAAGAAGAAAAATCTAAAGAATGAACTTTGACTCTTCATCCTTCCTGGAGGACCGTATAATATATCTGAAACAAGCTGCACAGAGAATGCTGTATCACTAAATCACTGGCACCTTCTTGGAATACACAAAAATTTCTGTATCACTCTTATAGAACTTACAGCCATGGTCATGCAGCCTACACATGCTGATAGACACATGCATCCATTGTAACAACCATCTTATAGAGCCTCCACATTATTGAAAACACAACCATGTGAACCATCAGTGGGGCATTCATATCCTATATCATTTATTTTATTATATTTATTTATATATATATATATATATATATATATATATATATATATATATATATATATATATATATATATATGTCGTACCTAGTAGCCAGAACGCACTTCTCGGCCTACTATGCAAGGCCCGATTTGCCTAATAAGCCAAGTTTTCCTGAATTAATATATTTTCTCTAATTTTTTTCTTATGAAATGATAAAGCTACCCATTTCATTAAGTATGAAGTCAATTGTTTTTTATTGGAGATAAAATTAAAGTAGATGTATGACCGAACCTAACCAACCCTACCTAACCTAACCTATCTTTATAGGTTAGGTTAGGTAGCCGAAAAAGTTAGGTTAGGTTAGGTTAGGTAGGTTAGGTAGTCGAAAAACAATTAATTCATGAAAACTTGGCTTATTAGGCAAATCGGGCCTTGCATAGTAGGCTGAGAAGTGAGTTCTGGCTACTAGGTACGACATATATATGTGTATATATATATATATATATATATATATATATATATATATATGTATATGTATATGTATATATATATATATATATATATATATATATATATATATATATATATATACACACACACACACACACACAAGACGGTACATTGGGATTGTGAGGATATATAGCATAGTAATTACGGTCTTGTAAAGCCACTAGTACACGCAGCGTTTCGGGCAGGTCCTTAATCTAAGAAAATTTTAAGTAGGTAATACTTGCAAAATTTATAAAAATTATAAAAGTTACATAGCAAGAAAAAAATAAAAAACGAGAGAAAATTGTAGGTATATTAAAGCACATAGGTAGCTCAGATCGATTGCAATGACAGATTGAATGGTAGTTTAAAAAAAAATTAGTAGGCACAATACAGCATATGGCTAGCACATAAAAGAAGACAGCAATGAACACAATGATAAAGTTGTTTGGATTAAGTAACATTGAAAAGTATACCCTTCAATGTTTCTGTAGGAAGCCCCGTCGGCTTCCTGAAGCTATGCCATTGATATAGTGCTCTCCTATTTGAGGTCATCAGTCAGAGTTCTTGTTGCCTACCGGGTACCAGCGACAGAACCTGGGGTCTCCTCAGAGGCGCAGGGAACAATGGGCTATGAACACATTAAATGTAAAGTATATCATACTTGCCACCGACCAGGGAAGGTACCCAGAAAGGTAGGTGAAACAAAACAGACAACAGTCTGGTTAGAATTGCAACTGACGTCTTCAAAGGAGCAAACGAACTTTTCCCCCAAAAAAGAATACAAACAAGCAACTATCCAATTAGCCCCCCCCCCCCCCACCAGGGGAGCGTGAGGGAGCCCGGGTCAGCTAGGCTCCTCACCACGTAGTTAGCTTTTTGACACTATTCCTCTTCATATAGTCTAAGGTAGCTGCACAAATGCAGATGTACCTAATGTATTAATAAAAAAAGGCTCCTCACCTTTCAGTTCTTGACTGATGGTGCTCGAGGTCGGATCGGCGTCACTTCAGGCCTTAAATAAATATAAATAAATGTTTATTTAGGTAAGATACATACATAAAAGAGATTTTACAAAGAGTGATGGATTTATAGATAGGGCTAGTACATACAATGCCTAAAGCCACTATTACGCAAAGCGTTTCGGTCATGAAAAACTTAAATGACTAAAGCTTAATACTAATAGAGCATAAAGAATAAAATGAGTTCAGAACAAATAAAAAAAAGAGATAAAAAGGGGGGAACATGGCTGAAAAGCAGCACAAATACAATTCGGTCGACAAACAGCGTCATTTAAATAAAACAGACATGGGTTGACAATAGAGGGGTAAGGTAGGTTACAGGAAATTTATTAGGTATAGCTTCGTTTTTATCTTAAACTGGTTGAGAGAGGTACAGTCTTTAACATGGTTGGGAAGGTCATTCCACATTCTGGGTCCCTTGATTTGTAGAGCTTTTCTAGTTTGATTAAGTCGTACTCTTGGAATATCAAAACTGTGTTTCTGCGGTTGGAAGAAAACGCTCACAGAGTGGGGGACTTATTTTATTTTAGAATAATAATAATAATTAATTATTTAAATACAAATAATTAAGTAATAATAATAGTCATCATTAATTATTAAATAATTGATAATCCTTAAATGAAGAAGCATAATAGCTCATTATAACGAATAAATAGATGAATAAAGTGGAATTAATTATGGTGACTAATAATGATTAGTGAATAACCATAAATTAATATACAGAATAAAATTAATGGATAGCCGTTATAATGATCAAATACAATGAAGAGAGATCTCTAATTGAAAGTTACATGATTGAATTAACGGTAATTCCAATTCTTGGCTTATCACTTTGGGGGTTCCGTCGGAGCACCCCCAAGGTAACACAAATTCGTTGCAAGATGGAACAAGTGTCCCCAGCAAACTGCTTTAGCATCTTCCCTTGGAAAGTAAAACCGGGGAAGCAGGGTTTCCCGGGAGGAGGGTGGGCGTTTTGTAGTGTATCTGGCGAGGCGGAGGCGAGCAAGAGGTCCCCGAGTCCGCAGGCTCGCTTTTAAGTACCCCCCTCGCTGCGCGCGCGCTACTTAGTCGGTTAGTCTCCAAATCATGGTAATACATTTTCTACTTTGCAGAACTTCACCACTTTTGTTGTGAAAGCAGTGACTATTTATTTCTGGTGTGGTGCTCATGGGTTCTGTTACAACCTTCTATGAAGCTTTTGAGGTCAGGATTGGCATTACAGTTCAGTGTTTTATATATGTATAATACACATGAGAGAATGTGCAGTGACTTAATATCTAACATATTCAGAGATTTGAGAAGGGATACCGAGTGATGTCTGGGGCCAGAGTTGGATATTGTCCTAATAGCAGCTTTGTGTTGAGTAATTAGAGGACGTAAATGATTTTGGGTAGTAGAACCCCAAGCACAAATACCATAGTTGGGATATGGATAGATGAGGGAGTAATAGTCACCAGGGCAGGGCGGGGTACATAATATCTGATCTTAGAAAGAATGCCAACAGTTTTTGAAACTTTTTTTGATATATTTAGAATGTGTCCCTGGAAATTCAGCTTGTGGTCAATGAGAATGCCAAGGAATTTGCCATCTAATTTGTTACAAATTTGGGTATTGTTTATTTTGAGATTTATTTGATTAGAGGATTTATTGCCAAACAGAACATAGAAAGTTTTGTCAATGTTAAGGGTGAGTTTGTTGGCAGTTAGCCAAAGATGGACTTTATTTAGCTCAGTATTTACTGTGGCATTTAGAGCAAGGGGGTCAGG